AAAAAAACCCTCTAAATGGTTTAGAGTGTTATTAAAAATATATGTAGGCTTGGGAGAGAAAAGAAAAAGGATGAAGTCCTTAAAAAGAGAGAAGGGGGAGAAAGAGGGAGAAGGAAGGGGAGGGAGGGAGGGAGGGAGGGGAGAGAGAGAGAGAGAGAGAGAGAGAGAGAGAGAGGTTGGGTGTGGTGGCACACACTTTTAATCCCAGCACTTGGGAAGCAAACAGGCAGATCTCTCTGAGTTCAAGGACAGACTGGTCTACAGAGTGAGTTCCAGGACAGTCAAAGATACACAGAGAAACCTTGTCTCAAAAAACCAAAAATTAAAAATAAAAATAAAAGAAATAGAGTTTAAAATAAAGCCATGCAAAGATGGAAAATACCCAGAGAATCTGGATACTGTATGTTATCATGTTTTCTTTGAATGGTTTGATGGCTGAGGAAGGAACAGCTGCTAAGACATTTAATTACAAATGCTGCTGGATTAATATAGCATATATATTTTGAAAGTGCTTTGACTTCAAAATTTAAGTCAAACTATATGTTAATTTGGAGAAGAGGTTTTGCTTTTGTTTCCACAGGAAATGAGAGGCTGTGGATTCATTCTGGGTTAAGAAGAATCAGGTTTGATCAAGGAAGACCCCCTGAAGAAATTTTCGATAGGAGCAGATGGCCCAGATGTCTAAGTTCTACTTCCAGAACAGTTTCAAGACTGCTGGCTGAGATGATCAAACCTCACAGAATACAGTCAGGACTTGATCATAACTCTCAATTTTCTTGCCGGACGGTGGTGGCGCATGCCTTTAATCCCACACTCAGGAGGCAGAGGCAGGCAGATCTCTGGGATTTCGAGGCCAGCCTGGTCTACAAGAGCTAGTTCCAGGACAGGCACCAAAGCTACAGAGAAACCCTGTCTCGAAAAACAAAAAACAAAAAACAAAAAAGGGAAAAAAACTCAATTTTCTTTAGGTCCCTATAAGATTATCAGCACCCACAATCAGCAGGGAGTAGCCTAGAAAACTATGCCCACATTCCCAAAAAATGGATTATAGATGTTTGTCTTTGTTTAAAATGTTGGTTGCAAGTTGTTATGGACAATGGTTAGGAGAAATGCTAAACATAGGAGATTCGATTCAGAGTTCTTGTTTTAAAAAAAAGAAGGGGTTGCTGTGAGGCAATGATCTTTTTTTTTTTTTTTTTTTTTTTTTTTTTTTTTTTTTTGGTTTTTCGAGACAGGGTTTCTCTGTGGTTTTGGAGCCTGTCCTGGAACTAGCTCTTGTAGACCAGGCTGGTCTCGAACTCACAGAGATCCGGCTGCCTCTGCCTCCCAAGTGTTGGGATTGAGACAATAATCTTATACTCTGTAAAGTTTTATAAGTTGTACTGGTTTAATAAAATGCTGATTGGCCAGTAGCCAGACAGGAAGTGTACGTGGGATGACCAGAACTGGAGAATTCTGTGAAGAGGAAGAGTCAGTCTACAGTCGACACAGAGGAAGCAAGATGAGACTGCCTGGCTTATAAAGGTACCAAGCCATGTGGCTAACACAGACAAGAATTATGGGCTAATATAAGTTATAAGAGCTAATAAGAAGCCTGAGCTAATAGGCCAACAACTTTATTATTAATATAGACCTCTGTGTGGGACTGAACGGCTGTGGGCCCTGGCAGAAACCTTCTGTCAACAACTACTGAATATGTATTATAAAGAAACTTGCCTAAAATTTTAAGATATGCTGATTTTATGTATGAATGATTCTGTAGAATATTTATTCACAGCTTCTAAATATCTAGTGTTAGGTAAACACATGTCTTGGTGCATTGGTGGTAAGCCATTGTTGAAGACATCACATACTTGGGTCAAAGAACAGTACTGATCTGGAAGCATCAACACTGCTAGCTAGCTTAAATAGTTCTGGAAGGTGCTATGCATGCTTCCAGAGAAGAGAAGTAGTCCTCAGTCCTCCTAAGCTGTGAACCTTGTGCACCACAATGACTGGCCTGGTAAGACATGCCTGCTAGTGCAGTGGTGCCAGGAATGTTGTGGGAGGAACCAACCATTGGCCTGATCCAATGAAACCCAAACCTGGCACAATTATTGGGCCAAAACCCTATGACTAAGTAGACCATAGGCCCTAGGAGAGAATCTATTTTTTTTTTTTTTTTTTTGGTTTTTCGAGACAGGGTTTCTCTGTGGTTTTGGAGCCTGTCCTGGAACTAGCTCTTGTAGACCAGGCTGGTCTCGAACTCACAGAGATCCGCCTGCCTCTGCCTCCCAAGTGCTGGGATTAAAGGCGTGCGCCACCACCGCCCGGCTCCTAGGAGAGAATCTAGTACTATTATTCTGCTAAATGGACACATTGTCAAACCTCTCCTAAAGATTTATCATTGTATCTGTAGACGAAGGTATCTCTTAACCCTCATCAGAGAAACTTCTATTTACAGTACGTAATGATCAACACAGAGAACTACAACTGGCCGAGACACATACACTATACTCCCTGCTTCAAAGACTCAGGGATCATTGTGGAAGGAGAGTGGAAAGAGTACTAGTCAAATAGAGTAGATGGCTACAAGGAAACAGTGTCTTCTGGATGTAGCAGGGCAGCTATACATCTGAACTAACAGTGGTTGTGACAGCATTCACAAGATCCGTGCAAACCTAAACCAGATCAAATAGCAGCATAAGGAGAGGAGTTGGGCGTCAAGTTCTACTTCCTAGTCAAAGAGCTGCTCAGAGAGAAAGGGTCAGTTCTTTCTAAGAGTATAGCCGCTGAAAAGTTGGCCATGCTCTAGTGGAAGGACACACACCCAAGAATATGTGGACAGCATAAATTGGCCTTGATGTGGGATGGGGCACAAAGGGAAGAGAGAGTGGCTCTGAGACGAGTTGGAGGAGGGAGGGTGAATATGATCATAATACATTTTACAAAATTCTCAAAGAAATAATAAAAACCTTTAAAAATCCAACCTTTTAAGTCTTCCTTTATAAAACACCTGAAGTGAGTTTGTTAAAATAGTACATAAAGAAAAATTCAGTAGTAAAATTCACTCAGTGTGATCACTGAGATTCACACCTAGGAATACTAGGGTAATGCCATGGTTAGACATTTTCCTGTTCACATGCTCACCATCTCAATACTGACTAACTGGGAGAGCCTGTTCTAGTAATAGGGCGAAGGCTTCATGGCTTACACAGTTAGTTACTTAGTGGAAAAGGATTAATCTTCTCCAGTTTTTGCTCATGAGTTCTCTCTGAAAGAACAATAGCAGTTCATCTTTCAAGTTAAATTGTTTTCTTTCATAGTTATATTGAACCTGAGGATATCATGGAGATAATCTAGACTAGCAGATGCTCCACATCTGATAAAGATGTGTCTCACATCACTTGTTCCTGGACAAGTTAGGCTCTTGGGGGACAAGCCCATCACAACTAAATTCCTTCTGTTTACAAGAGTGACAGAGGAATAAAGTGTAAGAAACAAAAACAAAACCAACAAAAACCTGAACACAAGTGTGTATCATTAACGCAAACGGAAATAATTTTCAGAGGAAGGCCACCAATATGTATAAACTTCCAGGAACCAAAGTGTTAAGAGAGGTGAGAGAAGAAGGCAAGGACATGAGTTTCTCCTAATAAAAGACCCTTAGAAAGGAGAACAAGGCTCTTCTTGGGTAAATGAAGAAGAACCAAACTTTCCCTTAGAAAGCTCTGAATACCTGGTATTTACTATAAATTTCTTTTAAATTACATTTTTATTTAATGCACACGTGTGTGTGTGTGTGTGTGTGTGTGTGTGTGTGTGTGGTTACACATGTGGAGGGTGGAGGACAACTGGTGGGAGCTGGTTCTCTTCTTACACCATGTGGGTTACAGGCACTGAACTCAGGTCTTTGGGATTGGTAGCATGTGCCTTTCCCTACTGAGCCATCTCAATGGTCTTCCTATAAATTTCTAAAGGCTTACTTTTACCCAGTTATCTATTATAACATAAATATCTCACTTAATTCTCTCAGCAAGTATGTGACAGTTTTTATTGTCTTTCTTTGCAAAGGTAATGATATGGTTTTTTTTTGTAGTGCAGAGTATGGCCCAGGCATGAATCTGTGTAATTCTAGTGTTGGCCACATGACTATTCCTTACTAAAATATTGTCCAGGCCTTCCGTATTCATGAGAACTCCAATTCATACCATGCCCAACACTGATACGCATCTGACCTATGTTATTATGCTGCTGACAGAGTTTGGTATTTAATAATGCAAGGACATTTATTCCCAATTCCATTACCATCCAGAGGCAGTCTGGTAAAGAGAATCAGGGAAATCAGTTTCTGTCTTAAGCCTATTATAAATTATCTAAGTCAGGTCACATAAACTGGGTGTCAGATTTGCTCAATTTTTAATATCCAAATTGAAGGAACTGGAATGGCAGCCCTTTACCTAAGCGTTACACTATAATCTGGACATCAGTGGACGTCCATTGCTGCTCTACCCAGCACCTGCTAGGTGCTGCAGATCCACACACGTGTAAACTGTTTCTGTCATAGTTCAAAGACTGACTGTGAAATAAACAATCTTCTCCTTATAGTGAAGGTTACTGGAGTTCATGTAACTTTTAGAAAGGTTTCATGCTAGCTCTACTGAGGAAGATAACCTTAAAGAGAAAGGACACTGTGATGTACTACTAAGTGGTTACTGTGACAGTGCAGAAAAACTGAGCCTACTCTAAAAGGTAAGAGCTGTTTTCAGGAACTAAGTATGTAGAACTGTGCTCATGACACATGCTGAGCTTCATGAGTTTCCTTTACTATGAATATCAGTTATGGTTAAACAGAGAGAAGACACATAACCTACCAATTTTACTGTATATTTTAGCCAGCATTTCTTAACCTGGAATTAGCTTTCTAAAATCCTGAGGAAGTTTCTAAACCATCTCCGTTCTTGCAATCATGACAAAAGCACTGGTTGAGCTAATTGTTCTGGCATTTAACAGGTACTTACCACTACAGACAGAAGAGGTGATGTTGTACAGAAAAGGGTAAAACTGCATGCAGCGGATCAGCTTCAAGCTGCTCTCACACTCTGGGCATTTGGTAGTTAACTTCAAGGCCCGCCTGAAGGCTTCAAGTGCCCCACTGACATTCTTCAGAGCAAGGTAAGCATTTCCCAGGCTCAAAAAGGTCAGGGGCTGAGAAGATAAGAAAAAAGAAATCAGCAGAATGTAAATGAACTTCTGTGTTTTGAGAAGCAGAAAACCTTCACAGTATACTTCTTTGAGCCTTTCTTAGGCTGCTCTGTAAAGGTTCCTGCTAACCTGTCCATGTTATTCACACCAGCCCACTCTAAACTGTGCAACAGACATAACCGGATCCTTAACAAAGATTAAAAACTACTAAAAGTTGTAACTAGTCTTAAATGTAATGTAATGAATTTCATATTACATATTAATATATCCTGGTATATTAATATATCCTGGTATATATTGGGTTGAGTAGCAACTCAATATATAAAACAAATAGAATGTCTCCAGTATTCCAGAGGTTCCCCACCTAAAGAAACCATTGTTGAGATATTGTGACTTCTACCACCACACATCAACTTTGCCCTTCGTGAAGTTCACAGGAATGGAATCAAACAGTGAGTTCTCTAACATATACATACAAAACACATTGCTCATAGCAGCTTCTTTTGCTTAATCTAGGATTAGTTCATGTTCCTAAACTGGGCCTATAGTACATGCCTACGACCCCAGTAATTGAAAGGCAGAGGCTGAGGGCATTGTGAGCTTTGAGGCCAGTTTGGACTACCACAGTGAGATCTTAGAAAACAAAACATTTTTATTAAAAGACTAAAAAATGTTAAGACAAGGAAGTGGCATTTTGAAATAAGGTAACCAGTTTTATAAACGGTAGTTCTGAGGCAATACACCGTTAGTAAAGTGTGAGCGCTACGGTCAGCATCCCCAGGCTCAAATCTGAGCTGGTAGGCTCTGGTGCCTTTCAGTCTTTGGGAACATTAACTCATCTACAAAGGGAGAAATCCACCTCCTAAGCTGTTCTGCTGATAAAATGGACTATTATATGTAAAACACCTGGAGGGTACCTGGCTCTAGGAGAAAAAAAAATCTCGTATAAGAAAGCAAATGATGTGCCCAGTTCAGGTGAAGACATATGAGGATTTGTAGCTCTTGCTTACGATCATATGTATGGGCCCAAACTTTTTGCTGGACTCTCTGGCTATGTAACTGATAACCACAGTTATCAAGATATTTTCTCTTTCACTGACTTATTAATTAATTTCAGTGCTAAGATAGTTACCTGGTAACTATCTTACCAGGCTCTGGTAAAAACCATTATTAACAATAGTTATTAAGACTGTCAGCTACCTAGTAAGTCATGGTAGCATTCCAATCTATGGATTAGTCTTTTTTTTTTTTAAACCATTTAAAACTAGATAGTGACAGTTTTTTAAATGTAGTAAGCTTTAAGGTTCACTATGAAATACTTGTAATTCCTGGTTCTAGGTGAGTATTCCCAAATGCTCACGCTGGGTTGGGAGTGTTGGTAAGGTATATTTTTGCTACACTCATTCTGATTCACTGATTTTCTCTTTATCTTGTAGAAGTACCATAGCACTTCATAACTAAAATTTACTTATAATTTTAAATACAGAAAGACAAGTGTTTTTTTTTTCTTCAGAAAAATGTTCCGTAGCTGCTTTAGCTGGTAGCAGAGGCAAGTGAACACAGGGAGAATTATGGACCACAGCAGCACAAGGCCTTCCATGGGTATGCCTTCTTCATCACACCCTGGCACATGCGTATCATCTATTCTCACTGTACCTTGTCTGCTACAGAGCAAGCACTGGATAATAACTGATGGACTTACTAGCAACCTGACCCGCTGGAAAGTATAGAAATTAAAAAATTATGCTTAAAATTCAGTTGTAAATTTATGAACACTCAATAGGTAACATCCTATATTTAGAAATTTAGTTTTAGAATACCTTAAAGAAATCTGAGCTATTTATACCCTTGTCTTGTAAAGGATTCTCTGGAGATAAAATATATAATCATTTAGGTGTTAGGAAAGGGCAACTTAATTGTGTGTGTGTGTATTACAACTGCATTTCATCAAAAATTTATGTGATAAATCAATAAGATGAATTATAATGTGGCACCTTAAAAATAAGAACTAAAAATAACAAAGCAGTCATATTGGGCATGCTCTACCACTGAGTTCCAGTTCCAGTCCCCTATTATTTCCTACCAAAACAACTGTTTAACTGTGCTTTGTCTCAGATACCATAAATATATTTATAAATCAAAAAACTCCATCTGTAAAATGCACGATACTGAGCAAGGTACATTCAGAGATGAGGGGATAAAATAAGAGCAGGTGTTGCAGACTGACATAGAAAGTGACAGTATATTTTCATAGCTGCAGAATTTTTATTTACATGCAAGCTTTAAAAAAAGCCAACTGAGAATTGTTAATTCCATTCATTTAAAGAAAAAGGCGAGCATGATGGTACATGGCTGTAATCTTGGGTCACGAGGATGAGGCAGGGGAATTGTGAACTGAGGAGAGCTCTGGCTATAGCCTGACCTGTCTCAAAATAAATAAATAAATATCAAAGTAAAATATATTTTTTTTGAACTATGCAAACTCTACCCTGAAAAGCAAACTTGACCGTTTTTATACCCCTCCTAGACACAAACAAAGTGCACTCTGTAACCAAGCTGTTCTCACAGCTTGTAAGATGGTAAGAAAGGAGTGTCTCACCTCGGAGCTGTTGACAACCAGTGCTTGCAGGAGCAGCTTAGTAGCATCAAGATGAAGACCGTAATGAATCAAAAGGTTGGCCAGGTTGACAAGAGGAATGTCCTGGTACTGAAGCGGAGCTAAATTCAAAGCCCTCTGAAGGCAAGCGAAAGCGAAAGTGCTGTTTCCCACAGCTCTCCAGTACAATCCTGCTTCATTCAGAATGAGCCAGATCGGAGCATTTGGCTGAGAATGTCAAAGTACAGTACTCGTTCTAAATAGAATCTTTAACAAATACATTAAAAACTTTAATTACACTTAGTAAGTATTTAAGCTTTAGATACCGTAAACAAATGACTTACCTTGTTAATAGCATGAAATAAAAAGGACCCAATTTCTTCTTCTGGGACAGTATAGTTTTTAATACGGGAAAGCAAAATCTGAAAATATCAAAAGAAAGACTGACTCAATTGAAAATAACAGGGAAGGCATTTGGAAGAATCTCTATGATAGCAATCTTTAAATGAGTGCCTCAAAATTTTATTTATAAATAAATAAATAAATTTATTTATATATTATTTATGAATAAATAAAATGAATTTATTCATTCATTGTGCATGACTGTGTTTATGTTTTGTGTGTGTTCCTATACATATATGTGTATGTGGAGGTGAGAGGTTGATGCAGAGCGTCTTCCTCTTCTCTGTCACTCTCAGTCTTACTGAACTTGGAACTCACTGATTTGCTAGACTAGCTGACCAGTAAATGCCAGGAGTTCTGCTGCATTCACCCATCCCTAGAAAATGGGAGATTATAAACTCAGTGTTTTACGGAGGTCCGGGGGTCTGAACTTAGGTCCCCACGCTTGTGCGGCAAACACTAAACCCACTGTGGCGTCTCCCCAAGAACATTACTCATGTATAACCATATATGCAGGAGTTTATTAACATACAACAAGTAATCATCAGCTCACATATATGCTCTAGTGTCCGCCAATTATGAAAGTTACAAGATTTACATACATTCTCTGTTTCTGTCTGTTTGTCTCTCTTTCTAGTAAGTGTACAGAATCTAAGGAGCAATTCTGCAGAATCAACAACAGGCACTACTGGGTATACTAAAACTCTGCACTCGTCCCAAGCTGGAAAGGACCAGAGCTCAATCCAGCAACTTTATCTTCTGCAGTGTTTGTGTACTTGTGAGCCACTCTAAAGAACGTTGTGCCTTAAAGCATGTTTTGTGTTCTAAGAACCAACAACAGTACCTGGTAAACGATCACTTCTCTGCTCTAGTGAATGTGCACTCAGTTTAAATCGACGGCACCAAATTAGTTGCCATGGTCTGTTTTTCCACAGAAAGATACTGCTTTGATTTGTAGTTTTAGAGTAGTTACATTTGTTAAAATATGATAATATACATATTATCTCTGGAGAATACATCTATCTATGTTAACAAAGTACTCTTAGTCATACACAACTAATAAGATCTAAAGGAAATAGCATTAACAGAATTTATTCATAATTTTGCTGGATGGCTATCAAATTAATAGATTCCCAAGGACCTCATGTAGGTCCGAGGCAAATGACAACGTCAGAGAGCAGGAGAACTTTCAAGCTTTTAATTCCCGAGGCAGCTGAGAGGGCACAAAGCTAAGCTGAAATAGTCAGGACGGCCTCCATTGGACAGAGTTCTATGTCTCGCGTCTTCAGAGATCTCTAGTTAGAGGCACTGACAGTGCTCAGCCGGACTCCATACACTGCTGCCCCAGGGAGCATTTCTTGCTGCTCTGTGGTTAAGAAGCACGGCTGCCATCTCAGTCATCTCATAAATTCTGAATGCTACTTTAGTTTCTCAGACTGAAAACTAAGCACCTTCCTTCAAGTTTCTGTTCCATCTAAGAGGCTTCCAAAGTCACCCAGAGCAGCCTAAGTGAGCCTTACTTTGCGGGCATGGTCATCGGGTATTTTGGCTTTCAGATCCATGCGGACCTCTAATTCTTTGACTAAGTAGGACAGAGTGTGGCTTTTTCTGGAATCAGTTATGGAACAGTCAGGGGTTTTGGCCTCTTCTTCTGAAGAATAATCAGCACTGGTCAGTTCGTGGATCCTGGCGTAAGAAAAAGGAAAAAGATTCATATTTTCAAAGTTTGGGTGAGTTCAAGACAAAGACTTAACCTTTCAAGTCCAAGGCTGGTGCTCTCAAAGAACCGCCAGGAGACAATCATGCAGAATCAGGTGCTTTGCCAAATCCACCAGCACTTGCCTGAGTCCTTTGTTTTCTGGAGGCAGAAAGTATGTTGGCAATTCTCCACCAAGGGGGACTCTGGGATAGCTGTCTCTACAATCTGCTCTTTTAGGCCAAAGAATATGTTGTTTATCCTATGAAAGAAACAAATCTTGTCATAGATTACTTTAGACTCACCATTTCTACATGGTAAATGAACTGTCAAAAGAATCAGGCATTCTAGGGGCTGGAACAATGTTTCAGAGGACCCATGTTTCATTCCCAGCATCCACATGGCTGCTCACAACTATTTCTAACTCCAGTTCCAGGGAATCTGAAGCCCTCTTTTGATCTACATAGGCCACTTCACACATGTAATGCACATATATGCAAGCAGACAAGACATTCATATACATAAAAATAAGAAAAAAAAATCTAAAAATATTAAAAAAATAATTTAGATATATGTGGTGGCTTGACTAAGAACGACTCCATAGAGTCATATATTTGAATGATTAGTCACCAGGTAGTGACATTTGAAAGGACTAGAAGAATTAGGATTAACGGCCTCGTTGAAGGATGTATATCATATGGGGGTGATTTTGAGGCTTTAAAAGCCCATGCCAGCCCAGTGTCTTTCTCTCTGCTTGAGGATTAGGATGCTAACTCTTAACTATTTCTCCAGCACCATTCCTGCCTGCTGCCGTGCTCCCTCCTAGGATGATAATGGACTAAATCTCTGAAATTGTGAGCAAGCCCCCACTTAAACGTCTTCTTTTATAAGAGTTGCTTTGGGGGCTGGAGAGATGGCTCAGGGTTAAGAGCACTGCCTGCTCCTCCAAAGGTTCTGTGTTCAATTCCCAGCAACCACATGGTGGCTCACAACCATCTGTAATGATGTCTGGTGCCCTCTTCTGGCCTGCAGACATACACACAGACAGAATATTGTATACATAATAAATAAATAAATGAAAAAAAAAAGAGTTGCTTTGGTCATGGTGTCTCTTCACAGCAGTAGCAGAGTAATTAAGACAGTATACAAGAATGGCTGAACAAAAAAGTAATATTTTCAAATAAATGTGGGCACTCTGGATGATTTTACAATAGTCCTTCTACCAGATTTGTAGTCTGACTTATTCTATTTGTTTCTCCACAGACTGACTGTATGCAAGGCAGGCGTATGTATGTCAGCTAAGGCACTGAAACACAAGGACAGACTGGCAGCATCACTAGAGAGAAGAGCAAGACTCAGCCTTATATGAACAGAAAGCCTTGCTGTTCCAGTTGCTGATGGATCCCATAAAATTTTCAAATGAAACCAATAATGTGCTTGGTACCATAAGAGGAAGGAAATACGTCACTAGGAAAGTCACTGGTCACTTACGGTCACCCGAGCCTGAAGTTTAGCCTATCTATCTCCGGACTCTGTATAATAATGGTACATGCTTTGGAGGTGCAGCTTGTAACTTGTACCTGAAAGCATATATAATCTCCTAATATTGCAAAACAAACAAACCCCAACCAAAAATCTTTGTTCAAATGTCAAAACTTGATAATCCTGTTTCAGCTTTCCAACAATTCCTTTAGAAATTTGTAAAATGTTCATTTTTCTACATATAAATGACTATAGTAAAGGCCTACTAATCCAAATTTTAAGGATTTTGTATTATATAATGATTAAACCTAATGACTGAATTGTTAGAATAAAAAATAGCCAATTAAATTCTGAAATTTGAGTGGTGAATAAAACGTACACATTTTTGTCCTCATGTTCTGGATAACATACAATTTCTTCATGGTAGCCTAGAAATATATTTACCAGTGCATTTACTGTACGCATCTTGCACTAGCATAAAGCTTCAAGAGGGCAAGAAGTTATCTACTATGTCCTAGTATCAGCCTAGCACCCAGTACTGACTGAATAAGTAAAGAAGACACAGGCTAGAAATTATACCCAGCATATAAAACTGGAATCAGGGTTTTTATCTGCCCCAGTGGATGATGAGGAACTCAGCAAAGATCTTCCTGACTCAATTCCCTAACAGAATGCCTTCCATTTAATAGTAAGTTTACTCAGTGTGTGCTACATGAGGCTGGACAGTGTCGGGGCCACACTAACCACTGCAGTAGACAGCCACATCTTAATACTATGCCCACATTCCCAAAAAATGAACTATGGATATTTTCCTTTGTTTTTTTTTTTAAAGAGGGGGAAGTGGTGCAGGAGAATCGTCTGTATTCTGTCAATCATGTTTTAAATAAACGCTGATTGGCCAGGCAGGAAGTACAGGCAGGGGGTCAACCAGACAGGAAGTAGAGGCAGGACAATGAGAACAGGAGAATGCTAGGAAGGAGGAAGCCCATTCCTCCAGAGTCCAGCCCAGATCACCGAAGAAACAAGATGTGACCTGCCCCACTAAAAAAGGTACTGAGCCATGTGGCTAACATAGATAAGAATAATGGGCTATATAAAGTTATAAGAGTAAATAAAAAGCCTGAGCTAATGGGTCAATCAGTTTATGACCTAATGTAGACTCTCTGTGTGATTTTCTCTGGGACTAAAGGGCCGGGGGACCGGGTGGGACAAAAACCCCAACGAGCCCGGCCCTCATGTTACAACGTCTGCTGGAAAAAATACCTTTATCATTCTCTACACACTTACCCTGTATGCATCAGAGTCACGGCCCCATACCCAGAGGACAGAATGGGCTACAGGGGAAGACTTGGTAGACTCACTGACATCACTCTGATTTGTAGGGACATCAAAGTTCACAGACATCATACTGGAGGTTGATGAGTCATCACCAAACTAGAAAATGAAAAGTTTAAATCAATTCTGAGTGGAAGTGGAATTATGAGGGAGGTTTTACTTAAACCAAAAACCTAGTGAACATTCATCAGCAGTCCAACAGAAATTCAGAAAGCAGGTCAGCAATAAGCAATAGGATCATTTACTCCTTAGAACTATGTCCCGACAGTATTCTCATGGATGTGCACTGCAGTTAGCAACTTCCATGCAACTTTGCCATAGAAGGTGAGAAAAAGCATGAATTGTCTTCCTGTCCTTTCACTTCCTTTTTTTTATGGTTTTCCTAGTTTAGATTCAACGGTTAACTAATTAGGCAATTTACTTCTCTCCCATGCCAAAACTAAAATGGTTATTATTCTATAAAACTAGTTCTACAGTTAGAATCAAGGAAGGTGAAGGAAGTATTCTTAGGAGTTGGAGAGACAAGTCAGAGATTAAGAGCACTTACTGCTCTTGCAGAGGACCTGGTTAGGTTCTCAGCACACACATAGTGGCTCACAACTTCAGGGAATCTGAAACCCTCTTCTGGTCTCTGCAGGCACCAGGCACACATATGATGCACATTATCTACATGCAGGCAAGCACTCATACACATAAAAACTACTAATACAATTTTTAAAAGTATTCTTAAGGCTTTTATGTAGCTGTCATTTAGAGATTATCAACTGTTGCCAATTCTATACAATCTGTAGAGCTACAGAGGGGAAACTAAAACTGAAGGACCACACACATACAGTTCTGCTCCAAACAAAGATAAATTATTTGCTACACTTGTAAGACATCCTGGTTCTACTGGTGTCATATAGAGAATGATGAAAAGACCATCGGAGGGAAGGCATAGGGAAGACATGAGAGAAAGGAGCAAGCATGCTAACTTTGTACTTCCAGGTCTCATGAATAGAAACACAATCTTCTGCTATACAGAAGTGTTATACCTGAAAGGACACTGCTCTAGGGCAGTACTGAATCTACCAGGACATCCAAAGGTCATACTGGATTTCAGTCATATTTCTAAACCTTTTTTCCTCTTTAGAATGCTTGGGCTGACAACAGTGAGATACACTCTAGGATGGTATGAGTCTTTACTCACTGACAAACATGGAGGAGTGCTAGTGACTGGTCTGTGGAAATCAGAGGAGCATTTGCTCCACCATGCTGCTGCCCATCCTGAAAAGCCCATATATCTTAGTTTCTTACTACTTGTGGCAGTTTGAATGTAATTGGTCCCCGTAAGCTCACTATTAGGAGGTGTGGCCTTGTTGGAGGATGTGCGTCATTATGGAGGTGGGCTTTTGGGTCTCATTCATATATGCTCAAGTGATGCCCAGTGTCTCAGTTCACTTCCTGTTGTCTGTGGATCAAGATATAGAACTCTTAGCTCCTTCTCCAACACCGTCTGTCTGAATGTTGTCATGTCCCACCATGATGATAATGGACTGAATCTCTGAACTGTAAGCCACCCAATGAAATCTTTTCCTTTATAAGCATTACTGTAGTCATGATGTCTCACCACAGCAATAGAAAGCCTAACTAAGACACTATTCCTATTAATGTTGTCTGGGGTTTTTCAAATTAAAGGGATCAAATTTGCTTATGATTTGTCCCCTAGAAATGTTTTCCTGACTCTTATTTTAACAGTTTGTCTCTGGAAATTTCTTTAGGATAGTGCACAATGAGTCTTACGAAGGACAGGATAAATGCTGGTTTTGTTTTTATAGCTTTTCTATGACCATTAATCTGGTTGTGCTGCACCCTTTATTATTCTCCCAGCAAGAGTTCATTGTATTTACATACTCTCTCTTGCAAAACAGACAGGCTAGAATGTTCACACATGTGTGAATGAGTTGTGTTGTGTATATATGCATACAGAGATGGTTAGAGAAAGCATACTCCTAGCAACGGTACTTAATAACTATTTTTTTTAGTGGCAATATAACTTCATTGGTATTTCTGGATGGGCAATACAATGGAATTTTAGGAAAGAGATGGTTTTCTCTTCCACATTTTATGTACTCATGTCTTAGAACTGTGATTCTCACTCAGAAGGCAGACACAAGCGGATTTCTGTGAGTGCAAAGCCAGCCTGGTCTACAGAGTGAGTTCCAGGACAGGCTCCAAAAGCTACAGAGAGAAACCTTGTCTCAAACACCCTCCCCCTCATAAAAGAAAAACAAAACAAAACAAAACCAAAAACCCAAGGAAACAACAACAACAACAACAAAAAACAGTGATTCTCAACCTGTGGGTCACGCCCCCCCACAAGGTTGTACATCAGCTATTTACATTATGATTCATGACAGCAAAATTAGTTACAAAGTTATAATGAAATAATTTTATAGTTGGGGTCACTATAACATGAAAAAGTATATTAAAAGGTCACAGTATTATGAAGGTTGAAAATCACTGGCTCAGGGGATAAATTAAAACTGAGTCAAACAGTAGTAACAGTCAAGTCTAACTCCCATAACAAAGAGGAAAAGAATCAAATGCACATGAATAGAGACACAGTGCTAGTACTATAAAAATGGAATGTTATCCATGCAACTGATAATTCACAACAAAATCTGCCTTCATACACTTAATAGACAATAAAAATCTTAAAAGCATTAAAAGGTAGCCACACATTTTAGCAAGTGAGTTTACAAGAAGTCAAAGGAATAAAACATGATATATTTATACATAAGTCAGTAAGAACTAGAAGAGACGAAGAAAAGGACCTGAACATAGTCCACATTCTCAAAGATATCTCCTCGATGGTAGCGCACAGGTTGGTCCCACTGGCAATGCAAACTATGCTGCTGGTTGACCAGACGGCATATCTGATGATTTCCTGGGGCAAGAAGAAGTTACACAAATGATGAGCAAGGTCGCGCAGTGACAGCTTTATCTTAGTAAGTCTCGGAGTTTTACTATTGTGCCCCTTTCTTAGCCTTAAGAGTATTCAGGCTACCTACACAGAGAAACACTCATTAATAGGTAATTAAATGAAATAATTAAAGAAGTCCCAGGTCAGGGTTGGAGGGATGGCTAAGCAGTTATGAGTGCATACAGCTTTTCTAGATGACCGGAGTGGTCCTCACCACTCATACCAAGTGGATTTCAACCACTGGCTCTCCAGCTCCAGGTAGATCTGACACCTTGGCTGATGAGAACACCTGTATTCATGTGCTGCTCATACTGCCCCGCACATACACATAATTATAAACAAATCTTTAAATCATGGTTTCTCTCTATAGAAAACAAGGAGAGATTAACCCCATTAGTTAATTATCATAGCAATTACATTCTGTCCATGTTGATTACATGGTTTGAAGAGACCATCTATCTGTACAGAGAGAATTTGCTGCACATAGTTCCTAATTTTGTTTCAAATGCCTATCTGAAAGCTCAGGTTCCATTTAGTACAGATTGATCACTAAATAATCCTAAAACCTGAATATATTCTTTATTCTCAAAATGGCAAAGAGAAGCCGTGAGAGGGACTGTAAAATGAATGACAAATGGTCACAGCTAAGGTCCAATGCTTGAGTCCTTCGAGATGAACATACTTGTAAGAGAGGAGGGAATAATTGAAGGCAGTCTATGCCTTTGTTCTCTGCTGCTGAGTTGTCAGATATGTTCCCTTGGGATTTAATCATGAACAAAATAGTCTAGATATAATCAAATCATCGATCTCTTTCCAACCTAAGTTCTAGACTAGTGGCTCTGTTTTGGGGGAAACAGACTTCAAGAGAGGCTAACAAAGTGATGCATTGCCTTCTCCTAAAGAGAGACAGACAGACCACACATGTGTGATTCTATGGACAACTGTGGAAACAGACAGACCACACATGTGTGATCCTATGGACAACTGTGGAAACAGACAGACCACACATGTGTGATCCTATGGACAACTGTGGAAACAGACAGACCACACATGTGTGATCCTATGGACAACTGTGGAAACAGACAGACCACACATGTGTGATCCTATGGACAACTGTGGAAACAGACAGACCACACATGTGTGATCCTATGGACAACTATGAAAATGACTTTGGAACTCCCTTGCAGCTTACCTACTGACCTAGGCTACGATTTCCCACTAATTCTAGTCTAAACTCCTATTTCTAAAATAGTGTTTGTTTTTACGGAAGCAAGGGAAAACCAACATTTCCTTTGGTAGAGTACACACATGTTGTTTCTAGCATTTCTCTGTGTTGGCTTAGAGCAGTGGTTCTCAACCCATGGGTCATGACCCTTTGAGCAATCTTTTCATAGGAATTGCATATCAGATATTTATATTGCAATTCATAACAGTTACAAAATTAGTTATGAAGTAGCAATGAAAATAATTTTATGGTTGGGGTCACCACAACATGAACTGTGTTAAAGGGTCACAGCATTAGGAAGGTTGAGAACCATTACCTTTGCTGCCTGCAGTACAGTGTTTGTTATGAGGGCAGGAGCTCAGCTCCATCTCATACATCCTGAGTCAGAAATTGGGCTGTACCAAGATCTCTAGGAGAATGATATATACATTAAAGATGGCTCAGTTGTTAAAAGTACTTGCTGCTCTTGCAGTGGACACAGGAGTGGTTCCTAGCACCCATACTAGGAATCTCACAACTGCCTAGCACTGGCTCCAGGAGATCCCATGCCTATTTCTGCAGGTACCTACGAGCAGCTAGGTGAGTGCATGCGCGTGCACACACACAAACTAAGATTAAAATAAACAAGCAAAAATATTTAAGAAAGTCAGGCTGGGAGATAGCTCAATGCTGGCTGCTAAGCCTCATAACCTGAGTTTGATACGTGGATCCCACATGATGGGAGGAGAAAACTTCCCCTCCTCTGGTTTATCCTCTGACTTCCACTCATACATTGTGGCACACTCTTGTACACACACACACACACACACACACACACAATTTTTAAAAAGATCCAGAAAAAAATTATAAATATAACTTCTTACTGTTTTAAGGCTAACCAAAAAGTCTGGCAGTCAAACATGCTGGAAGTAGACTTCCTAGCTGCATGTACTCAGGACCCTACTCACCTAACTGTGCCTCTTTTGCCATCTGAGTCTCATGGATGATGTTGCGCAAGATCTGCTCCTCCTGAATCAGCTTGTGTTTCTCTAGGATCTCCTGTTGCCGCAGGTAGTGGTCATGCTGCTTCTGGTACTCTTTCAATTCATTCAGTGTTCTCTGGAGGGACCTTAACATTTTTTAATATCAGAAAAAGCCAGACCTTGAAAAATCATGAATTTTAAAAACTTGCTTAAATATATAAACTTTATGGTTACCAGCAATAATTGTTATTAATAAAAACTATACCACAAGTTGAAGAATAACGATTCTATATAAATGCTATTTTAAACTTGATACTTGAGAAACATTAAAAAACATAAATGCAAAGGCCTTCTGAAAACCAAATGATGTGCTGAGCTTTTCAGATGTCATAAGAAACAGAATCATCTGCCTTGTTTGCCCATGACTTCTAACTGAGGTAGAGCAGAGGGCAGCTGCAGCGAGCCCCAACTGAACTGGACTACCTGTAAGATGTGTTCTCCCCTTATGCTTCCTGTCTCCACAGTAAAATCGCAACGCCACCCATACCACCCAGCTGCCTGAGCTGAAAGCACTATCTCCTCAAATATTTACACCTCATTATGGTGAACAGGCAAGAGATAGCTCTTGACAATAGATTCATGCATTGAAATTTCATATAGTACAGCACATCTTTCTGTCTCTATAAATCAGCTAAAATGAATTTAGGGTTGAGGCTATGTCAGAGAACTTGCCTAGCACGTACAAGTCCTACGTTTACTCCTTTGCATCATAGACAGAGGATTCACAAATATATAAGTTAATTAAAAGCTGTACATGTGCTGGCTAGTTTTATGTTAACTTGACACAAGCTAGAGTTATCTAAGAAACGGAACTACAACTGAGAAAATGCTTCCTTGGGCTTCAGGCAAGCCTGTGGGCATTTTCTTTTTTAATGACTGATCATATGAGGGCCCACCCCATAGGAGACAGTGCCACTCATGGACTGATGGTCCTAGGTGCTATGAGAAACCAGGCTGAGCAAGCATCCGCTATGGTCCTGCTTCTAGGTTCCTGCCCTGACTTCACTCAGTCATGGACTGTAAGCTCGAAAATGGAATGAACTCTTTCCTTCCCAAGTTCGTTTTGGTCATGAAGTTTTATCATAGCAATGTAAATTCCACTGACAGTCAAAATCACTTCAGAATCCTTTTCTCATGTTCATATTTATTGGCCATAGTGTCCTGGTCTCATATTTTAGTTCCTTAAAATAGAGAAATATTGTTTAGAAATATTCATCGTCATCTGATTCCAGTGAGTCAGCTGCCTGATTACATTTAAATACTGGAACTTTATTATACACCACATTATAACATCGGAATTTAGACTATAAAGACTATGAGGGAGTGAGTTCGGGTACTAAGAATTACACTGGAAGATCTTCAGCCAGGACATATGCATATTCTGATTCAGTGAAATAGAAGTCTGTTACAAGGAAGCAAGCTACCATTTTGTCTCACCACATAATGCCTTAAACAAACTAGGAAATGAGCAAATACACACATTTAATGGGTCCTAAATTCCACTTTAATTCTTTAATAACCAAAATAGACCCAAAACATGAAGGCTAATTTTGAGGAATAAAAAACTTCTCTTCTGAATCATATCAAGTTTCTTAGCGGGCCTTATTATCTATGAAAGCAAACATATTTGCCAGGAATCCTGATAGGATCATGTAGAAAAGAGTTCCATTGCTGTTCAACCTAACATATACCCAGTTAAAATGTGGGTCAAAAGCAATGTCTGACCCTAGGAGCTGAAAGCTTAAAGAAAGAGCAAATACTGTATGCACATGTGATTTTACTGACACACTATATTCTGTCAAAATAAAACTATGATCAGCAGAATTCCTGCATACCTAGAACCTCCCCAAGAGCACCAAGTGTCATGATAGCAACAAGAGGTCAAGATGCTGGGGCTAGTGCCTCACACTTGTGATCCTAGTACTTGGGAGGCTAAGATGGGAGGCCTGCTGAGAGCTCATAGCTAGTCTGAGCTACATAGTGAGTTCTAGGTTAGTCTGAGTGGGGTAGTTTGAACAAGAATGTGTCTCATATTTGAAGCTTGGTCTGAAGTTTGTGGAGACATTTTGGGAAGGATTAGGAGGTATGGTCTTGTTGGTGGAGGTGTGTCACTGGGTGTGGGTTTTGAGGTTTCAAAAGGCTCAGTCTCTCTTTTCTGCCTGCTACTTGTGGATGAGATGTAAGCTCTCAGCTACTGCTCCAGAACCATGACTGCCTGTCTGTCTGTTGCCATGTTCTGTCATGATGGTTATGAACTAACCCTCTGAAACTGTAAGTAAGGCCAACTAAACTCTATTCTTTATAAGTTGCTGTGGCCATGCTGTCTCTTTGCAGCAATAGAAAAGTAACTAAGACTCTGGGCTATAGAATGAAACTGTACCCCAAAACAAACAACTTATAAAGATCCAAACTGGAAGCTTTTCATTACAAATGTTCTCTATTCCTGGCACTGATGATGCTGGAGAGTCAGCTGACCTGTCACTGAACAGAGCTAAGTCACTTGGATTTAGTGAACAGGATGGCCCTGCAGTATGAAGAGGTTTTCTCCTCAATTGTTCTGACCATGTTAAGGTGATGCCGCTTGAGATGGTTTTAACCCAAGGGTCTGTGGTGCTGGTGCTTCAGTACATTTGCTTCTAATTACCTATGCTGAGCCTCTAGCTTCTGCTCCAGCTTTTGCTGACAGAGGACAGCATGCTTCCTCTTTATCGCTTGCTCAAACCCAGGTTTGGCTTGCAGAGCATGGTCATAACAGAGTACTGAGTGGTTATATTCCCCGAGCATCTGCGGAGACAAAACAAACACACACATACATAACACAGTGGAAGAAATGTTAACCATGCTGGTTGCATCCGTCTAAAGCCACATGATTCACTTTTTCTGCAGTGAAAACTGCTTTCATGAATCCCACAACAGCAAGGCATACCATAGCTGGAGAGACCTGCTATTTTTAAGAGGTTTATCCTGCAGTTTAGAATTTTAGTTCAATTATATTTCTGTCCAAAGCTAAGAACATTATGACACAGTATTGAGGTGTTTTTCCCCCTCCTACCAATTATTTTATTTCCATTGTTCAGGCAAAAATAGAAACGAAAAAGTAGTCTTCTGAGAGAAAACAAGATGAAATAAATAAACAAAGTGCACTCCCCTCTAGCAACTGTTCTAGTTCAGCAAAGAGAAAAGTAGTATTTACTGCGTATATATTCCCCAGTGTATAGTAGCTGGTGAAGAAGTCACTGTCATCCAGAGCTGCATGGACCACGACAGCAGCATCAGCAGAGAAATGTGCTCTGTGCAGAACATTGGCCAGATTGACCAGAGCAATGTCTTTATTGTGCCTACAAGAGAAGAGTGCAGCTGGAGGTCAGGGCACCATTGTCCATGACTGTGTATCTACTCATGTTCCACATCTCAGTTTTAATTACTGACGATCCTTCCTCAACTTCATAGCTACACATGTTGCCACAAAACTAAGATCTTATGGGCATTTTATGATTGAAAAATTCATTTGTGGCTTATGTTGGCTTTAAGAGATGCCCATATTAGGGGCTGGGGAAATGGCTCAGGGCTTGGACCTTCAGCGCTCACATTTTTTTAAGCATAGGAGGATTCCAAGGAGCCTGCTGACCAATCAGCTAATCTGGCAAAAATACCAAACTTCAGGTTCAGTGAGAGACTGTATCTTAAAAATAAGGTGGAGAGAGACAGAGGAAGACACCTGATGTTGCTTTCTGGTCTCTATACATGCAGTGTGTGGGTACAGGCACTCACGTGCATATGTCTACACGTATAATAAAAAAAGCAGTTCAACTCATGCTAATTCCTCCATTGTATGTCCTGGCACTAATTTCTCATGTGAGCTACAGCCTACTTACCTTATAAACTTAATGAAAAGTATATTACATAGTTTTCACTTTGAACTTATTGACATCTTTTTGAGATGAGACTAATTTCTTTAAGAGATGGTGAAGTGTGTAATTACAACAATGCTTCTATTGTTCCCTATGTGTTACCCTTTAACAGTCTTCAGTGATGCGGCTAGTCAGGAGTCCCGAAGAGGAGGAATCTCACCTGGAAGAGAAGTGAAGTGCTCGCATGGCACATTCCACTACCTGATATGGTTCATTTTTTATTCTCCAGTAAAATGAAGCCAGGTTATACAGCACCCATGAGGAAGAGTTCTAGGAGGAAGCAAAACAACAGTCACATACAAGAGAAGACAGTTTATTTGACTGAGGATGTTCAAAATGAGCACAACTCAAACACTGGCTCTTCTGGAACTCAAGATAAAGAAAGGCGAGCTACACTGATAAGAACACAGGGTACAGCACAGAACACCAATCCATCCAAAGACCCTCGTGGAATCACGGTGGGAGCTGAGGCAGGACTGTTAAGACTTTGAGGCTGTTAGGGGCTACACAATGAGTTTCAGGGCAGACCACAAGCAAGTAAACACACAAATGAACAAGCAACAAAGTCCTGTCACTGTCAGTGAGGGAGCATCCATCCCAATTTTCCCGATTCCTCAAGTTCTGAGAATGCAAACTTGTCTTTGGAAAGACAAGGTAAAGAGGCTAACTTCTATAAAAATTAGAAATGCATTAGAAAATAAAACTGTTTTCTTACTTTTATTTAAAAATTTCTCTCAATATATAGAACCATGTATCTGAATAAATAATACAGCAATGTTGTAATAATATATCTTAATAATCAATACTGCTAGACACAGAACTGTATTTTCTTCTTGAGAATGAGGTCTCATGTAGTTCTAGCTGGCCTCAAATCTGCTATGCAGTACACGGATGACCATGAACTTCTGATGCTCCTATCTGTCTCCAGAGTACTGAATGACAAACACATACCTGCCACATCTGGTTTATGTAATGTTGAAGCTGGAAGTCAGGGCCCTACGAAGGCTGGGCAAGCAGTGTACCAATGAGCTATACACCCCAGCCTGGTGCTCCTTAGGACAGTGAAGAAAAGAGCAACAAGTGTTTTTGGAATCCCCGCACATTCTTGGCTCACTTTACATAATTTCCTACTTCCTTTTTGTTATTTCTTCCTTTAGTTTTTGGAGCTGGGGTCACTCTGTGTTGCCCATGCTGGTCTTAGGCTGGTGGGTTTGAGAGAGTCTCCCAGCTCAGCCTTGGGAGGAAGTTCTTGTGAACAAATGACAAAGACGAGTGTAACTGGGGAAGAGAGTGGTGGTAATGTGTGCTGTGTACAGATGCACCTAACTGAGAGAATCTAGTTTATAAGCCCCATTGCTTCTTCTAGTGCTTTTTTTTCCTTTCTTGTATTAGTTTAAATATTTTCAATATCTCTTTCTGGTAAGGGAAATGACTCTACCTAAGGCCCTCTCCTGTACAATGCTGTATTTTTGTGCCAGTGTAATCATAACTCTGGATCCTCCTCCAGAGGAAGAAGCAAAGCAAGTATCCCGAGAGGAACACATAGCCTCCTGGCTCAGTCAGTCACTGGGTGACTCACCTTCTGCAGGCCTTCATGAATGAGGTGACCTATGTCGTCGATACTCCTTCCTAAGCGTTTAGATAAATATGTGAAGATTGGATCTTCTTTAGGTAAAAGAGGGGCAGATAGATTAATTCTTTCTTGCACACCCTAAAGGAGGAGGCAATTCGAAAAACACAGTAATAGTAGAGAATGTAAGATGTAAGGAACGCAGTACCCTGTAGCATTTATTTGAAAGATATAAGACTTGTAGGTGGCCCAGCAATGGTGGCACATGTCTTTAACCCCAGCACTCAGGAGATCTCTATGAGTTCAAGACCAGCCTGGTCTAACAGAGCGAGTTCCAGGACAGGTTTCAAAGCTACACATAGAAAACTTGTCTTGAAAAACCAAAAAACCCCAAACCAAACCAAAAACCCCAAGCAAACAAACAAAAACTTGTTATAAACATAGGACCCCCCCCCAAAAAAAGAGTATGGCCCCCCTCCCCAAACTCTAAAGTTTTCCACTTACTCGTAAGTGCTGAAAAGCATGTATACTATATGGAAGTTCGAGAATTTTAGTGCAATCGGGTTGTTCCGGATCCGGAGGGACAGGAGATTCTGTGTCTATGAAATCCTCAGGGCTAAAATCAAGAAGCAATGAATGAATGAATGAATGAAAGAGGTAAAACATTGCTTTGAGGAACTCTAATTCGCTCACATTCTCTCTGCACCTCGACCTTGTAAACAACAGTTCTCAGCCAACACTTGCACCTTTCCACACAGCTGCAATAAAAAGTCAAATATTTGGGGCTTCAAGTCAAAAGAGACACAGCAAGAATCAGAAAATAGTAGTGGCTAAGATGGTGGTCTTTCGAGACTGGTAAATAATGACTAAATGTTTTCTAGAAATGTCAGACCAAGCGAGAGAGCCACTGATAGCCTTTCACGTTCTTATAGATACTGATCTTTAAGGGCGATTTTTGCAGTGTGGTAGATCAAACTGTTTTAACCTGCACTCATATGATAAATTCAGAGTATTTCCACATGTTTACTGGGCACTTGTCTTTTATTTTTGCCGTAAATAGCTCTGTTTTATATTGTGGAGAAATAAATCTTAACTGGCTTGCTAGATTTTGCACTTTGAACTTTCAATCAACTCATCAGTGATGAATCTTAACTTTCAGGAACTTCTTACTGATTCAGGCCTTAGAAAGAGAACCGTTTTACCTGATGTCCTTGCTCTCCAGAGTTATATATGTGCCATCGTACAGATCCAGGTCTCCCAAGGGCACTTTAGCCTTGATGCAGTCAGGGTCTTCTTTATTGTGTCTCTGTTCTAGTCCTGTGTCTCTGTCCTCATTCTCCTCTATGTGAATTTTTTGAGCAACTAATTGCTTCTAGTAAGAAAATAAAAACACAAGGGGACCAGTGAGATGGTTCAGTAGGTAAAGGTACTTGCCACCAGGCTGAGGATCTGACCATTTCCAGATTTCACATGACAGGACAGAAGAACTTCCAGCAAGTTGCTTTCTAACGGTCATGCCTTTTTTCATGTACCTATGTGTGCTTCAGCACATGTGTGCACACGCACACACAGACACACACAGAGAGACATAATTGACCATGCATGCATACTTCCACACACAAATAAATGTAAGTTAAAAGAAAAAATGGCTTAAAAATTTCAGCTAGATGCCACTGAAATGAAAGGAGAATGTAATGAGCACTGAACTAGTTAGTTAGAGGAAGACGAAGATTCTGAAATGTCCTAAATTTCCCTAGTTAACACACACCAGTCTCTCTAAAAGGTATCCATATGCATGATTCATTTGTTCTGTTACTCTCTTAAAATATTATTTTGCTAATGTATGTACTGACCCAAAATAAAAAACTCAATTGTTTTCATAAATGGTCTTATGTTGCTGTACTGCTGTACATACTGCTAAACTTAACACTGTATTTTCAGATTTGCCTTTATCAGTTGTTATAGCTTCACATTTTCTACACGAATGTATATACAAATATATCTTTTTTTTTTGGTCAATGCTTAGGTTGCTTCTCTAAACTTTTTCTTTACTTTAAAAACAACAAAACGTTAGGAGCTGGAGACATGGCTCAGTAGTTAAGAGCACCTGAGTTCAGTTTCCAGCATTCACACCAAGTGACTCACAACACCCTATAAGTCCAACTGAAAGGGATCTGACGTCCTCCTCTGGTTCCCATGGACACCCACACTCATCTGAATATACCTGACCCACATACACAAGTTTTTTTTAATTAAAACTTTAAAACTAAAATAATGGTTAACTGGACCAAAAACTTATATCTAGGCAGGTCACAGGTCCTAGAAGAAAATTCAATACCAGTATTCAGCTTAAACTATACTGTAAATACTCACTACTATACCCATAGATTAGCATCTCACAACCTTTATCAGAGAAGCTTCCTTCTGCTGTGTGTGGTGAGTAATGCAGAGAGCTCCAGCTAATGAAAGTGCAGGGAACAAGAGACTGTGGAGTGCTTAGCCCTATTTGGGATATCGATACCAAACTCTCCCACCAAGGCTCTCGTCGCAGGAGATGGCAGAGGACAGTGTCACACAGACACGACAGCTGCTGCATCATAAACTCAGAGCACTGTGAAGCATTCACAAGGCCAAGGGAAAACTCCAGCAAGTACTGGGGAAGGACTCACAAACCCCACCTCTAGCAGGGAAGCTATTGGCAACTGATGGCTACTAGGGAGTCAGTTTACTTTCCCCTAAGAGACTCGTGCATGTTCAGTGGAAGCGTTCTGGTGGGAGGACAACTAAGTGTGCTGGTCAGAGGACAGCATGTGGGAGTCAGTTCTCTCCTGCCATCATGTTGGTTCTGGAGACTGAACTTGGTCCCTAGGCTGAGCAGTATCTTTACCCACTGACCCATCCCTACCAGTCCTGCATCTGATTTACACTGTTAAATTTGTTCTTCCTGGTGATTATAAAAATGCTACCAGCAGACCACAACACAGTCCATATCCTTAAACTTATTTTTATTGATGTGTTCTGATGGGTATGGCATACAGGTTTAAACTATCATGGGAGATCACATTACTATCATTGTCTACATCATACTCCTTTGTGTCCTCCTGCACCTCACAAGATAATTTTACACCACTGCTCCTTGGACTCCGGCCTACACAACATGATGTTGAAAATCCTGTGGCTCTCTAGTAGGCAAGCTAACAGTAGGCTTTACTTTAGCTACTGAGAATGTTACTATAAAGGCAGTGGCTTCTCTGACAGCCTGGTGCCTACCTTATGGATCAGGGACTTGGTAAGTAGCTCAGAAAGTCAGGCCCCAAATAATTAGCCATTAAGTTTTTATGATTCAGTCAGGTGAGATTACATGTAATCCTAACACTTGGGAGGCAAAGGCAAGATGATTAGAAATTCAAAGACAGCTTCAGCTACACAGCAAGTTTCAGTCTAGCCAGGGCGTCATGAAACCCTGCTTCAAAAAGCAAAAGGGGCTGGAAATATGCCCCAGTGAAGAAAAGTATAAAGTGACCTGGGTTCAGTCTCAAGCACCCCAATCAGGGGCTCACAAGGCCTGGCACTTTAGCTCCTGAAAATCTGACCCTCTCCTGTCTCTGGGGGCACCTGCACGCAAGTGTACACCTTCCACACATGCACGCATGCACACACACAACACATATACACAATTAAAACATAAAAATAAGTATTTTAAGAAAGAGATTTTCTTATTAAAAAGAGCATGTTCTATATCTTACAATCTGTTCCCAATGTGCTCCTCCCACCCCACTTTTCCTAAGCTTAGCCATGTGATTTTCTTTGGTCAATGGAATGATGAGTAGACATGTGATTGTTTTTAAGAACTTTTTTACTTAAAAATTTTGAATTTTATTTATTATTATGTGTATATAAGTGCCTCCCCTGGAATGTATGTGGAGATCAAATCCAGTATCAATTCAGGCCCATGTGGCAAGCACTTCGACCTACTGGGCCATCTTGCCAAGTGGAAACTTTAAACAGGTTCATTCATATTGCTTGGCTATTCTTCTGTGGGCTTCCATCTTTCTGAGAATAGCACTGAGATTTTTTTTTTAAAGATTCATTTGTTTTTATTTTATGAGGGCAAGTGTGTGTGTGTGTGTACCACATTCATGCATGCTGCCCAGAGAGGGGAGAAAAGGGCACTGGACCTCCTGGAATTGGAAGTTGTGAGCCACCATGTGAATGCCAGGAATTGAACCTTGGTCCTCTGGAAGAGCAGCAATACTCTTACTGCTGAGCCATCTCTTCAGTAACCAACCTCCCCCATTTTAATTTCTTTATCAGTATATATTTTTATTTCTAAAACAAAATAACTAAGAAACATTAAATTATCATGTTGTTGCCATATATTTAAAATAATAATCTCTTAATATCAAATACCTGACCAACTGTGTCTTTCTTCCCTCCTTTTGAAATCCAATTTTAAATCCTTGCTTGCATTAGAATCCCACTGGCCAGGTTGGCCCAGCTTCCAGTGCAGTTAGGCCTGGGCTGCTCTCAGCCTTGGTCAGTGGGCAGCACTCAGTGGAGACATGTCCAAGGTGCTGAGAATAAGAGACTCAGCGCTCAGTCCTAAGTGAAACATCACTATCAATGCTCACCACACCAAGGATCAAGGACATGGCAGAAGAGCAGGCAGGAGGAATGGAAGAGCCAGAGGATGGGGAGGAGAGCTGTGACCCCTGCACATTGAGGCACCAGAATCCCAGCATGGAGAGAATCCTCCTACCTTATACTGAGGAGCTATGGCAGTGGTTGTTGCTGCGGAGGGAGAGTCACTCTTTACTGAGGATATGGTCCACAGTGGGTTTCCCTCCTCCAGTGGATAGTCTCACATCCATGAGCATACTGATAACCTACCTGGACTTAGTAGGTTATCAAAATGAACAAACAAACGTGAATTTGGAAGGGAGAAATTTGGGGGGAATATGAGAGGGTAGAATGGGAACTGTTGGGTGACTTGTTTTCTTCTGTATTACCAGCCTTTACCTGACCTTTAGGTAATTTTCTCCTCAGATCCTCTGTAAGAGCAGAATTTGACTCCACCCATATTGAAGAAGTAAGCCTGCTCCTGCCCCTTTCACCCTACCCAGAGCATGGTCAGTGTCTTAGCTTCAAGAGCTGAAACATGGACACTACAGCCTGTTGGTGGCTGTGGTCCCCACTAGTGTTTCTGTCCCCTTCCGCTTTCACGGGTGGTGCTTCCACTGCTTTTCGGTGTGACCATTCATTCACTCAGTCTGTATTTGTACCTCACCCATCACTCCTGTCTGTATGAAGGAAGCATAAATCCCTACACTACACTTACTCCTAAAAGGGTGCATCTAGTGCTCTTCCTTCGCATTTCACTCATTGGAAGAATTAATTACATGTTCCCCTATCTATCATTAAACTCGATTATTTTATTTATGTCACTCAAAAAGTAACAGCAGTAAGTAGATATAATGTCTTTATACATGTAAAAGTAAAAACTAACTTCTGAACCATTACCATTTATTTGAACACTGTGTTTGAGTAAAAAGAGGTCATACTTCAAAACATGAAACCAGGGGGCTGGAGCGATGGCTCAGAGGTTAAGAGCATTGCCTGCTCTTCCAGAGGTCCTGAGTTCAATTCCTAGCAACCACATGGTGGCTCACAGCCATCTGTATTGAGGTCCGGTGCCCTCTTCTGGCCTTCAGGCATACACACAGACAGAATATTGTATACATAATATATAAATAAATAAATATATAAATAAATAAATATTTTTTTAAAAAACATGAAACCCTACAAAAAATCTATTGTTGTATTCCTGATATTAGTGGAAAAATATCAACATTTCCGAAGTTATAAGTGACAAAGCTGGTAGTAGCAGGGTGAGAGATTTATTTTAAAATATTGCAACACTGAGTTCTATGTTCTAAGAACACTATATCTGTAGGTAAAAATTCACAGGTACCAAAAGCCTTTCCCTTTTACTGCACACAAATTAAATATCCATAGACAAGTATATGCTAATAGAGGTACCAGTCTGAATTTATGTCAATGAAATTCAGGGCTTACTGTGGTCTGAAAATGAATTACTGACTTATTTTAACAGGATCTGACTTTCAAGGTAAGAGGTAAGCCACTGGGAGCACAGACACAGCTCAGTAGTATGGGGTTTGCCGGGTGTGTTCTGGGTTCAGTGCCCACAAGACTGTACTAGTGAAGTGGTTTTTTTTTCTCCTCTCTTTTGACAACTTGACACAAGGTTATCTGGGAGTGGGAACCTTAACTGAGAAAATGCCTCCATCAGACTGGTCCACAGGCAAGTGTGTGGGAGCACTTCCTTTATTAAAATGATTGGTGAGATGCCAGTCCTGGGCAGGCAGTTCTGGGAGTTATAAAAAGGGGCACTGACGATGAGCTAGTAAGCCATGTTCTTTCATGGTTTCTGCTTCAGTTCCTGCCTCCAGCTTCCCGCCCTGACTTCCTTTCACAATGGACTGTGATGTGGATGCACAAGCCAAATAAACCCTTTCCTTCCCAAGTTTGGAGGGGAAGTCATGTTGCTTTTAATAGAAAGCAAACTAAGAGAGAAAAACAACAAAATTTCCCCAAACCAAAAAAAAAAAAAAAAAAAAAGAAAGAACAAGTCACAAGTCTTCTGCCTCTAGTTCTGCTGTGTCTGCCTTGAGAACCTGAGCGGGTCTTGTTTTAGTTCTTCCGGCTAAACTGAGCCGGTCCTTAGGGTCCCTTCCTGTACAGCACTCCATTCCACACAATTTCCTTCTGCTTACTCCCAATACTTTCTCTCACCTGGCACATGACTTTTCTATTACTTAGTTTCCTTAAGATTGAGATATAATTTACTACTTTCAAGTAGATAGTTTATGGGGGGAAATTTAATTTTTCCAATTATTGCACGTTATTGAGCAAACCCAGCTCGTAGATATAAATGGTAAAAATCAGTGTCTAAAAATGCTGCTTGGTTTGTTCATTATACAAAACTCTATTTTATTTTTCCATAACTTTCAAGCTTTCATGGTACAAACTGGTTAAGACTTTTTGATTTCATAACAAGAAAAGACCACAGATGAGACCCTAGATTTTTATTTATTTATTTTTATTTTATGTGCACCCTAGTTTTTACTTCTTCAGAATGAATGGAAATGATAACTTTTAGGTTTCATGAGAACTTTTTCTCTGTTTGGATACAGTAGCTCTCCATGCACACTGGACTGGCTCGGGACTCAAGAGCTGGGATAGTGGGTGTGCGCTACCTGCCTGGTTTCTTCTTTTTGAGACAAGGTCTCTCTGCATAATCCTGGAACTCTAATTAGACCAGGCTAACCTCAAAGTCACAGACATCTATTTGCTTCTTTGATTCCAAATGTGAGCAACCATGTCCAGTTCCTTTCTTTTGTTTCCTATCTCCCCCCCCCCCCCCCGCCCCAACTCTTTTCAGACTATACCAGAGAGCACAGTCCTCTTCTCCAGAGAGCACCTAGCACATACTGGGGTGGGGATGGGAGCAATGATATAGACCCTACTCTAGGAAAAGTGAAGGAGAACTAGGTTGATACCTCCACCAGGATATTCTGTGCCTCCATTACTCAAATCACTTTGATGGAGAGAATGAGTGTAGACAGAGGTAGTGTGGGGGGGGAGTAGTCAGTATGTATTATATACATGTGTAAAACTGTGTGGGGCAAATTACCTGATAACACACACACACACACACACACACACACACACTCCGCTTTGACAAAGTAATTTGAGAAATTAATTGTTTTGAAAAACCCCACCTCAAAGCAAGATCTAAAACTGTATTCCTATAAAAGTCACAGGAATTGGGCTTAATGAAATGTTCTAGTTCTCTGAACATGATCGGCTCTTAAGAGGTAGACGTTTCAGCTGTGCATCTTATGTCCAGTTGCCTCACCTCTAATTCTTTGAGGTAGTTAACTGTATTTTCTTGTCTCATTAATATGACTAAGTCATGGGGATGCTTCAAGTTCATTGGTGAATCCACCTACAAGAAAGCAGTAAATAAGTAAATTAAACTCATTAATGTCTATTTAGACTAATAAAGTTCCATTTAATGATTTCAACTGTTGTCCTATCACAATTCTAGTTTGTGCCAGTTGCTCAGTAAGTTTACAGAGCATATCAACAGTGATTGCTTTGTAGGTGGAGGTGACTGAATCTGGGCAGGAGGGGCTGCTAGGTGAGCTCAGCATGCAGAGTCCTAGGGTTCATTTTCAGCGCCTTGAGTAAACTAAGGAAGAGAAGTACTTGGTAACAAACAATTGTAGGAGGAGACTGCTCTTTCGTTCCTGGCTGCGCAGACTCAAAATAATCACACAGAATCTACATTATTTGCAATACTGTTTTGCCAATAGCTTAAGCTCTTACATCTTAAATTAACCCATTTCTATTATTTTATATTTTTACCACGAGGCTTGTGGTCTACTGGTAAAGTTCTGGGCATCTTTCTCCTCTGGCAACCACATTTCTCTGACTCTGCCTACTCTCTCTATATCTCTGTTTGGATTTTCCATTTCGCTTTACTCTGTTAAGCCATTGGCAGAAAGCAGCTTCATTATTAATCAATAGCAATAAAACATATTCAAGCATACAGAGGGGAATCCCATATCAAATAATAAAATAATTTCCTTTAAATATTTTTCACATCTGTAATAGCAAAAAACAAAACAAAACAAAAACCAGACTGCCTAGTTTTGACAGCACATTTCATATCTGAATAGACGTGGAAGTGATAAAAAAAAGAAGACGTTAAAAATACATTTTTGTAAGGCCATTTGGAGAAGTCATAAGTCAAAGATAATATAAGATTTATTACTTAGTGTGGGCTCTCTGACCAACAGATCAAGCGACTATATGGTTGCAAATGTAGGAAGATGAACCCCACATACTGATAGTAGGCTTAGAGATTTGCTCTCACTTTTTCAGGGTTATCTACAACATACACCAACATGTTCCCCGTTACTACATGATCCTTCACTTAGCAAAACAAACCCCAGGAAACTGAGGTACTCTGAAACAGGGAGACAAACCTATATACAAGACGCTCACCACAACATTTTTAGCTGAACGGATTTCAGATACCTAATCTTATCAATAAAGCAATAGAGAGGGACACTGTCCTATGGAATGGAACAAAAAGAAAAAAACCCCATAAAAGCTATAGCCTGCGGCCTGAATATAAAAAGCTTTGCATAGGAAGCAAAGAGTGCTTGTTTACTTGCAATCTGCCTGGACCTCAAGCAGCAGCTATTCAATGGAGTTTCCAGAAAACTAAGAAGCAAGAGGGGCAGGAAGTGGGGGAACAGTCCTTCTGTCTCAAACACCCAAGTCCATTGTTTATTTGCTATCTGAAGGACTTGCAGGAATATTAAGACAGATGAAGACTTAACATTTCAGAGCTAGAGGATGAATAACCTTACTCTTAGATTTAGAAGTGCTGACATAGACATGGTTGTACCAGACTTCTCATTCCATTGTGAGGGAAGTGTGCTGCATTTCCTTGGATGCAGTAAAGATGCAGTAAAGAGTCTAGTGAAGATGCAGAGACACCAGGATAAAATTATTAGTAAAGATGCAGTGAAGGGTCTAGTGAAGATACAGAGACACCAGGATGAAATTATTAGCTGACAGAAAAGGTAGCCGACAGCTGGGTTTCTCTTTTTGAGGTGACAGCAAATGGTGTGGATCTTTGCCAGATAAAGGTTTAGCTTATGACCTGACACATATTTTTATTGCAGTGATGTCAAGGTCTTAAATTCTAAAATGTTATGGCAATTATCTTGGTGCCAAGCATGGAAACCTCTCCTTTTGAGTTCCTTTCCTCAGAAAATTATAAACGAGTGTCTGCTTAATGGTCTTGTAAATACCAGAGCATACACTCGTCCATGTGCTTAGAAAGTCTCTATAGGCCTGGCCCACTGACTGGACACTTGGAATTATATACTCCTACACTCTCTCTGTGCAGTGGGGAAAGGAATGATACAATGGCATAATCTAAAGCATTTAAAGACCTTCAGGATCAAAACCAAGAGGTCTCAGAGAGAGGAAGTTTAATCATAATACTCAAGAGCACAAGGCAAGATTATTATGAGTTTGAGGCCAATTTGGGCTACATTTTACTGTCTCAAAAAAAAAAAAAGAAAAAAAAAGAAAAAGAAAAAAGAAACTACCAATACTACCAATTTCCATTTCCTGATAATGCAAAAGATGCTCATAGGCCCAAAATCACAAAGAAAAGGCAGAATCGTTTTTAGCTGCCCTTTTTAGAGAAATTATACTACAGGGAAAAACGGAGCTGGCATTTGAAATGTAACTGTGGACTTAATTCTGTGCCAGGAAAAGATGCATTTTCTGGGCCTACAGGTTACACTCCACCAAAGAAGACAAAATATGCCAGGCAATTCAGCTTTCTTTTCCTTAGAGTGTATGAGTACACACACCCAATAATATAAAACAGCAGTAAATGTTTTACTCCTATCAAGTGCACTTTTATAGATCTCTCTTGTTGCTTTCTCTAATGAACCAGGACTTTTAAAAATGATTTATTTTTATCATGTACATTGGTGTTTTGCCTGCATGTATGTCTATGTGAGTGAGGATGCTGAATATTCTGGAACTGGAGATACAGATGGCTGTGAACCACGTGGGTGTTAGGATTTGAAACCTGGGTCATCTAGAAGAGCATCCAGTGCTCTTAACTGCTGAGTCATCTCTTCAGCCCTGAATCCAGACATTGTGAATGTCTGATCTCCAATCAGGGCCCTAAGATAGTGCATTCAGTAAATCCATACAGCAACAGATGGAAACTGATCCACTGCCAAGTTAGATAAGGGTGAACATCATAAACAAAATAACCAACTTAGGGTACAAACATGTTTGATGTTCTAGGAAGGCAAGTTTGAGCCAATCAATTGTCAGTGGTCATTTATAGCAGGAAATGACACATTTCTGTAGTGATGTTAATTCATACATAGTGATTTTTCTAACCTCTTCATGGTATTCACTTTAATATATGAAAGTACATGGAAACCTCTTCTTCTAGCAGCAGTGTGAAAACTGATTAACAAATGATATGGGAGTGTCATATATCAATCTGTCGATTTCATTGGTTAATTAATAAAGAAACTGCTTGGCCTGATAGGATAGAACATAGGTGGGGTGGAGTAAACAGAACAGAATGCTGGGAGGAAGAGGAAGTGAGGCAGACGCCATGCCTCTCCTCTCCACGGCAGATGCGATGAAGCAAGCCACCAGGTCAGACATGCTGAATCTTTCCTGGTAAGACTGGTGCTACACAGATTATTAGAGATGGGTTGATCGGGATATAAGAATTAGCCAGGATTTATGAGATCTAACTTGATTACTAAATCTCATTTCCATCTCTAATGATAATATCTTAATTCAAATTTATACCAGAAGGTGGGGAAGAGTGAGAAAGTGGAACCATTCTTCTATTTCAGAAAGGGTACAAATGTACTATAAGAGTAGAAATAAGAGACATTGCAAAATCATCAGTATCTAAAACGAACTAATAAAAATAAGCAATTTGCAACCAGGTGGTGATGACTCATCCCTTTGATCCCAGCACTCAGAGGCAGGTGGATCGATGATTTCGAGGCCAAGTTCCAGGACAGTCTGAGCTACATAGAAAAATTCTGTCTTGAAGAGCAAAAATACATACATACATACATACATGAAGACATCAACAATTTGTGATTCAACATTGTTTATAAAGAGGTTCAAATAGGAATATGTTCTTGGATATCTATATAATGTTTACTATCATTTGGATATCATGCCATTTTGGATCTTCAGGACCACTGATAAGTTAGTTTTTACTATCAATTTGATGCAACATAGAATTGCCCAGGAAGGTATTATCAGTAAAGAATTATCTAACATAAAGTGGTCTATGGGCATGTCTGTGAATAATTGTATTAATTACATTAATTTATGTGAGAAGGTTCAAACCACTGTGGGTGCCATTATTTTATAAACAAGGAATCCTAGTCTGTATAAAAGTGGGTAAATTAAACTGAATAGTATGCAAGTGCTCTTTGCTGTTTTTAATTATGAATGTGATGTGACCAGCTACCTCAAGCTCCTTCTGCTACGATTTCCCTGCTATGGACTATAACTAGAAATTGTACATTAAAATAAATTCTTTTTCTCCTAAGTTGTCTCTGCCAGGGTATGTTGTCACGACAACATAAAAGGGAACTAGGACAGTGCTCATATTTGTTTTCTTCTTTATCCTTGCGTTGTTTTTAACTAGTTAATATGTCAGTCTTGAATTTGTAATGCACTACTAGTATTTCAGGTGTATCATCAGGTGTTACATGCACACATACTCCTGCATCATCAGGTATTACATGCACACATACTCCTGTATCATCAGGTATTACATGCACACATATTCCTGCATCATCAGACATTACATGCACACATACTCCTGTATCATCAGGTATTACATGCACACATATTCCTACATCATCACATATTACATGCACACATACTCCTGTATTATCAAGAATTTTAAGCACACATACTCCTGTATCATCAGGTATTACATGCACACATACTCCTGTATCATCAGGTATTACATGCACACATATTCCCACATCATCACATATTACATGCACACATACTCCTGTATTATCAAGAATTTTAAGCACACATACTCCTGTATCATCAGGCATTACATGCACACATACTCCTGTATCATCAGGCATTACATGCACACATACTCCTGTATCATCAGATATTACATGCACACATACTCCTGTATCATCAGGCATTACATGCACACATACTCCTGTATCATCAGATATTACATGCACACATACTCCTGTATCATCAGGTATTACATGCACACATATTCCTACATCATCAGATATTACATGCACACATACTCCTGTATCATCAGGCATTACACTCTTTAACTGCCATTTGTACTTCTCTTTCTACTGTTCGTATGTAATATGT